ATAAGCCCCTCGGGACCAATATTGAGAGTAGCCATACCAGGAGGGGAAGGGGAAGGTGAGGGAAAGACAGGAAGAACCTATAATCCCCTCCCTGGGGGATGGACAACAGAAAAGTGGGTGAAGGGAGACATCAATCAATGTAAGACATGAAAAAATTATAATTTATACATTATCAAGGGTTCATGAGGGAAGGAGGATAGGGAAAAATGAAAAGCTGATACCAAGGGCTCAAGTAGAAAGAAAATGTGAAAATGATGGCAACAAATGTGTCTGACACAATGGATGAATGGATGGATGGTGATAAGAGTTGTATGAGCCCCCCAAAAATGATTTTTTTTAAAAGAAACACAAAAGTAGCCAACCTGTTGGCCTGATTGCTCAATTCAATTGTTTTTGTTCACTCTTAATAATTAATGCATTTAAATAATTAATTGTTCTGACTACAGCTTTGGCCGACAAGCGGAACTTTTTATATGGAGTGATTACATTATCACTATAGATTTTAAGTAGTCTGTGATTATGGTTTTGAGTCCTCAAGAGTTAAGACTGTTCTATGATCAAGTAATTTAAATTGTATCTAAACTCTCAAAGAGAACAAACTTCGAGTTTAAGGCAGCATGATTTTTTAAAGTAGCCTGTATGAGTCCAAGCTGGGGGAATCTATTGAGGCCTTCTTTGTGATAAGTTCAGAATCAATATTACAATGCTTACTACCATTTGAAAAAGATGGCTCTGCTCTGTAGGGTGCAGAGATTGAAATATTTATCACAGCTATTATTGTGCATCAAACCACTCTGAATCTCAGCAGCTTAAATAAGTCTTTGCTGGTCAAGCATCAGTAGGTCAGTCTGTGGGAGTTCTGGGGTCTACTGAGCTCACTCGGGCGTCTGTAATGAACTTTGGGTTGGGTAGACAGCTCGGCAGCCGTAGACTGGACTCTCTCCTACCTAGGGGCTGGCTGGCCATAAGCTGGGTGCCCACAGCTCTCTTCTACATGGTCTTATCTGCCAGCATGTTGGCCTGAATTTGACCTGGCAGAGGCAGAGTTCTAAGAAAAGGAGAAGCAGGAGCCAAGGTCTCTGGAGTGAAAACGAGCAAACCATCCCTTGTCTCATTCGGTTGGCTAAAACAAGTCACCCAATCAGGCCATATTCACGGGTGGGCCTAGATGCCATCTCATGAATGAGAAGCTGCAAAGGCACATTGCAAATATCATCGGTATGTCAGCACGTGGCTAGCGCGACCCGTGTATAGACATTCAAATCACTGAATACGACTGGGCACATGGAATCCACCCATGTGCTTCAGGATTATGAATTTTCTGAAACTGACTTCACAATACGATTATCTGCATGTTAAACACCTCTCTCAGGTTCATCTAATGCCTTTTCCTTAAGCCCCACTTCTTTCTATATTATTGCCTCTTACTTTGCAAAGTGGGATTTTTATGAGCTTTCATGGATCATGAATAAAAACAGTAATTCTAAGTTCCCGTTGGACAATTTTTTTAAATTTTATTTAGTGCATGAGTATGATTCATTTAGCAATATTTCCTCTCTTCTAGTCAAAGTATTTGTGGCACGATAGCACACACAGCCTAAATTATGCATTAACAGAATTTGCATTATGATGTTTTGATTAAAAATCACATATCTCATTTAGATCTTGTGATGGATTAAGTAGACCTAATCATACTGTTTAAAATAAAATCCCTCAGGTTTATATTCTGATATCATAACTTTTCACTAACCCATAGACATTTATCCTTTTTACCTTTTTCCCCATTTTATCTCCTTAAGAAAATAAACTTTCAAACAGAGCAATAGCTCTTTTTGTTCCCATAGCCCCTGTGCCTCCTCTTTTGCAAAGTAAACACGTGCAACTACTGGTTTAAAGCCTGTCCTTTCCTTTCCGAATGTGAGGTCCAGAAGGGGAGGACTGTGCTTAGCACCAGGCAGAGAATGGTTGCCCAGGAGCATGCTGAGTTGAGGGGGGTGAAAAAAGAAACAAAAGCAAACATGATTTTTACAACCTATCGTAGTTCATGACGGACCTCCTGCTTGGTAAAAAGAAAGGGGCAGTGAAAAAGAAGGTCCTTAGCGACATGGAGTGGCAGTGGCTGCAACCAGGGGCCCGGGCACAGGAACGAGTGTGCAGACGGTACAGGGCCGGACAGTGTTTCGTTCTGTTGTGCATAGGGTCCAGATGGGTCGGAACCAACTCAATGGCACCTAATAGCACAAACTTCATGTCTGGTAAAAGGTTGCCTTTGGGGAGGGGCAAGAGGGTAGTGACTGGGCTGGGGCATGAACGGGGCTCCAAGAGGGTTAGTCATGGTCTACTTTTTAACCCTGGGTGTGTCCACCCAGTGATTCCTTCTTGGGCCGTGCATTTGTTCTTGTATACTTTCTGAATGAACAATACTAAGAAAAACAAAGTTGATCCCTATCATTAATCTCTTAAAGAAAATTGCCATTAAATATAGAGATAAGAGATTGCCACTAAAAAATAAAATATATAAATGTTTTAAACTTCAAATTGAGGCCAAATTTTTCAATGTTAAAAAGTGCATTCTTGGCCCTGGATACTAAGTAGATGTACGCTGTACCGGTCATGATAGCAAAGAGTCACGGAGATAATATATGTACGCACTTAGCCCAATACCCCCACCTGGTGAATTCTGCATGGTAAGTGTTAGAGCATTGCACTTTGTGGCACACCAGACGCAGCTCCAAACAATGCCTTAACCTTAGATCTCATCAAGATTTCCTTATTAGAATCTCAGATCTGCTTTGTCCATAACTCTCTCCCAACAGCTTCGGGGCCGATTGAAGCAGTGTCTACATGTTACATAGACCACTAACGGGCTTGTTTGGGTCACATCCAAGGGATAGACCTCCCAGAGCACCTGTGCTGAGAAACCTTAACAGTCTTCTGGGCAGATGATTCCCCCTCACGAGCAGCTCCTGCATCACTTGGGGCATCAGTAAAAGGAACACCAGAGATCCCAATTCAGGGTCTAGGAATTTGCATTTCTAACACCTGCTTTGTGGGATTCTGAGGAAGGCTGTCTATAGAAAACATTAAGCTTTGTATCTTGTAAGTGAGTGAAATGGAGGCCAGCGAGGATTGGGGTCTGCACAGCCTTCTCTCTGGCTCTGGCCCTGAGCACACAGGGACGAGAACAGAAGGCACCTTTTTCACCCCTCCAGGGTCACTGCCATTACTTCATGCTGCACCTGTTTGGATCCAATAGAGCCGCCCCTGGCTGCTGATGTTGTTAGGTGCTGCCTGTCGTTTCTCTGAGACTGGCAGTGGCTGCAACAGCGGGCTCGCACAAGAATAACCATGAGAGAGGCGCAGGGCTGGCTGGTGGTTCGTTCTGCTGTGCTGGGGTTGCTGACGTGGAACTGACGCGATGGCACCAACAGTTGCTGTTGTTGGTTGGATGCTGTCGAGTCAGCTGGCTCACAGTGACCACATTCACACGCGGTCCTGAGCCATCCTCAGTTGTTCTTACGTTTCAGCGCACTGTGGCAGCCACGGTGTCATCCGTCTCCTTGAGGGCCTTGCTGTGTTTCACTGCTCCCCCTTTACCAAGCATGCTGTCCTGACAGCCTGTCCCAAATACGTAAGATGACGTTTTGCCCTCCTTGTAGCTAAGAAGCATTCTGGCTGTCCTTCTGCCGAGACAAATGTTTGTTCTTTTGGCAGTCCGCGGTCCTTTCAATATTCTCCGCCACCACCACATGTCAAATGCATTGTTATAGCTTCAGTCTTCTTGATTCAGTCAAGTCTTCTTGCAAGTCCAACTTTCACATGCAGGGTAAACAGCACCTAGTTCTAATGTCAGCTCAAAACATGGCACTTACATCTACTAGAGGCATATTCTCAAAGCGTCACTAAGAGCAGAGCCAGGTGGAAATTCGTGTTTAAAACGCACCTCTGGAACTCTTCCCTAGTGAATCAGAATCTCTGCGGCGGCACTCAAGAGTCTGCATTTTAAACAGTAGGTGCTTCTTAGGCAGACAAAAATTTAAGAACCACTGAACTAGGGACTGTGAAGAAAGAGCAGTCTTGCCAATGAAAACATATGTCTCAATGACAGCCAGGTAGTGTTGGACATTACAATACGATGCTCACCATTTTCTGCTAAGAGGTAGGTGGGCGCCACCTTCTGGCTCATTTTATAACGCAGCGCTCACATCATCTCAAGTATTCTGTTGCTTTCACCCTGAAAAATGAATCGCCCCTAAACAAGATTAGCTGAGCAATAGAAAACACTGTTAAAAGGAGAAACGAAAACAGCTATCACTTCACTGGAAGAAAAATTTTCGGAATGAAAGGATTTTGGGAGTTTCAGATTAATGCAGCTAATGAACTATGATTTCACGTTACTGCTTAAGCAAGGGAAGGAGACTACAACTCATTCCCGGACCTGTGCCAACAGTAAGAGGAAGGCCACAGAGCGCCCTCACATATTGCAGAGGCAATGTACCATTACGCTCACTGCAGCCCAACTCCTGTCCCAAGGGAACAAGCTACACAGTCCCTGGGAGGCTGCTAACCAGAGGCTAGGCGAATGGAGCCCACCCAGAGGTGCCACAGAACCAAGTGCTGGTGATCTACTTCCAAAAGATTGCAGCCCGGAGAGCACCTCTACTCTGAACCTGAGAACCCGCCCGGGGCCAACTGCTAGTGGTGGTTCCTATCCTTGAACAGGGGTCCATCCGGGCCCAGTATCCAAACTGCCACCTGCAGGACAACAGTTAGAATGCTAACATTACTTTCAGCCAAAACCTGGTCCACGGACACTACTCAAGAAGTCCTGTTAGTTACTCTGCTGAAAGCTGGTTTCCTCGTCCACACTGTAAAGGAGAGAGAGAGAGGGAGAGAAAGAGAGAGAGAGAGAGAGAGAGAGAAGCCAGACAAATACAAATATGAAACTAAGCTAGAAGTCGCACACCGTGGTGCAGTAAGTCAACGACAAATCACAAAAATGCCTTAGCTTTCATTTTTTATTTTAGCAAATGAATGGTAAGAATAAATACACCTGGCCGCCTGAATTCCTCCGTCACAGAGTGTGGATGATGGTCCGGTTGCGAAGCTGCTGAACATATTCTTTGGCAAGATCGACGGCTGTCTTTGGGGCCTCGGCTGGAGGAGGGGGCCCTTCTACCAGCTTCACAAAATAATGGCAGTACACCTTCTCCATGATCCCAAAGTGACCTCTGCCGTGGTAGCGAATGCGTTTCAGGCACTGGCCTCGCCCCGAGGTGGACTCAGCTGGACAAGAAAAGAAAGAGAATAATTAAACTGCTATCAACACCATCAAAACTTCATCAACTGAGCAAATTCTGCCCTTTCTTCAACTGGATTCTATGACTGCATGAGCTCACTGGTTGGCTGAATCAGGCTTGTCTCAAAAGTAAGTCTCTCCTGCACTCCCTACAACAAGCAGCCAGGTGAGATGAATGGGTAGGCTTTGCCCAGGTTAAAGTTCAGGAAGCAGGAAGGGAGAGAAAAGGATGGAAGGACAGACAGGTAAACGGGGGAGAGTCGCGGCTATGTTGTGGGGATTGCAATCAATGTCACAAATGAAAATGTCTAAGAACTGTTGAATGGAAACTCAATTTGCTCTGGAAACTTTCACCCAAATCACAATATAAAACAAACCCACTGTCACTGAGTCCATTCCGATTCCCCCTACCACAGGACAGAACAGAACTTAAGGCTTCCTAGACTTATAAATCTTCAGGGAAGCACACCACCTTATCTTTCTTCCACCGAGCGGCTGGTGAATGTGAAACACTGACTCCCCAGTTAGCAGCCCAGTGCTTAACTCTCCGTGACACCCGGGCTCCTTAAAACATAATAAAACCAATCCAAACACACTACCATCAAATCAATTCTGACTCATAGCGACCCTATAGGACAGGGTAGAATTATCCCTGTGAATTTCCAAAACTAACTCTTTAGGTGAGTGGAAAGCCTCGTCTTTCTGCCCAAATCATGTTTTCAAAAACATGAAAAATAAAATGGTCTTGCCTAAATTCTCCTTTCAAAACATAAGTATCTCCTGAGCACTTATTAAGGGTCAGGAACTCGTCTAGATATTGATGAGGCCACAATGAAGTCAACTGCAAGGCCTCCCCCCCACCCCCACCCCAGTTTCCAGGCTGCTTACATGTTAGAGGAGAGGCAGCAACCACACATGACAATGTCAGGGGGTGATAAGTGCTGTAAACAGAGCAAAAGGGTGGAGGGACAGAGACTGGGGGCGGGACATCTTCAAACCACAGCGGAAGAGACATCTACTGGTGGATCATCCATGCAGAGGTCAGTCGTGCGCAGGACCAGGGGTAGGAGCGCACCTGGCTGCTTCAGGACACAGGGACAGAGGCACAACGAGACGAGGCCGCGGCAGCGTTCGTGGGGCCCTGCAGGCCCAGGGAAGGAGCTCTGACTGTGCTCTGATTGTGAAGAAAAGCCACTGAGCCACCAGTTCCCATAAACTGCTCTGTGACACATCACAATAACTCCGGGAAACAGCATTGGAGAGTCTAATTTGGTGGATTTGGAGCAGAATTTACATTCTAGCAACAATTGCAGGCCCACCCATTTGGTAACTCTGGTTTGCAGCCAGTGTTAGGGACCCCTGCAATCACAACCACCCCCCTTCTACTCTGTAGATAAAAATCTGACCTTGTAACATTAAAAAAAAAAAGCCTCTTCCCTCAGGCCACGGAAAGGGGTAGTGAATAGCCTTGCAGCTGTGCCGCCGAGTGCTATGAAGAGTCGATTATTACAGAAACAGGTAGGTTAAAGTCTAAAATCTTGCCACTGGACCTCCCTTTTGACCCATTTTAACTTTGTTCTGCTGTTTAATGCTTCCTGCTTCCTTTTCAACTGGGGATTTTCTGTGGTTTATTTTCTTATTATTGGGGTTTTAATTTTGTTGTTGTTTTGGGGGGAGGCTGGTTTCTGTATATGTTTCCCAGAGTTTGAAATCCAGGATGCAGAATCTGGATTGATGGCTTACTAGGAGTACAGGAGGGGAAATTAAGAAGAGGTTGGGGGCAGATAACAACTACAAGAACGAAGAAAATGTTCCAGAATTGATTGTGGTGATGATTGTACATTTTTAATATGCTCAAACTATTGACGTGTATGATAGGTGACTTATGTCAATAAAGCTACTAAAAAAAAAAAGAAACCTGTTCAGCTGTTCGGATCATAAATCTGAGACGTAATCACTTTCTACTACTTTCTAAATTTAATTATTTACTATTAAAATTACCTTAATACGACTTTTTAAAAGGCAATGTTTATGGGATACACATCAAATCAATCCTCTTCACGGTCCACCATTCCTATGTACTTAAGTGAATCCGTTTCCTGAGACTGCACCCAAGTGTCCTACTGCCGTCCCCCCAGGACGTGGGTGCCACAGAAGCATCCCTGCTTTGCCAGGGAGGAAGCTAGGAATGGAAGCGAGCAGGACACTGCTTAGGGTCTCGGGGAGATGGAGAAAGGGCTAACACTTTACATTAATTTCATCTATGAGACCCCGAGGAAGTGTGTTTAAGGCTTTCCGGAGAAAAAGTGGCAGTGCACCAATCACTTGACAGTGAAGAACGCCGGTCTCCGGAGCCAGCCTTGTCAGGGAGAAACGGACAACCACGAACAGGGACATGGCGCAGGGACAGAAAGACTTTGAAAAGCCTTTTACAAACACAATGCTGCTTCTACCAGCAACTGCTCCTCTCCCCAACTTGAGCACTAGTTTCTAAGTGCTCTAAGAATGAGGAATGCTGTGGGAAGCAGCCAATGGGAAGACTGTAGAAGGATGAATCTTTTATTCTCATATACTAAGAAACCTGGCAAGTTGGGTTTCTGGGGTGGAGAGAGGCCTTCACCCTTGTGAGTTGGAGATGAGTCCCAACCACATTCTCATAATTCACATCGTTCCCCACTATATCCTCCCATAATAGTGCTACCTTAAGGTTACTTCTTTCAAGAATATGCCTGATGGCTATCCAGTCGGCACTTGAACTCTAGGAGCAGGCATGTGCCATTGCTCTCTCAACTCTGAAGACAGCCACTTCCCCTTACCTGCCTGCCCCCAACACTGGGGTTAGGTTGCTCCTCCAATATACTCAGGGACCTTTAGGGTTTGGGTACAGCCCACTTTGGTTAGGGTACAGCCTAAATGTTACATATGTGGTTAGGGGGGCTTGTATGCACCTAGAGTGTACACGTGCTTTGGTTGGAAATATATTCTCTCTCTCTGAGTGGACCTATCTCCTGAAGTCATGACTGTGAAGGTGAGCACTTACATGGATTATCCTGTCTGATGTCTACCTTAATTTTACCCCTCAAGTACACAATCGCCCCTTGGACCCATTTAATTATGGGGGCTGGTACCCCACAGAATGCCACTCCGGTAGAAGAAGTATCAAAATCAACAAATTGTGCAGCATGGCACAACCTATCAAAACACAATGGTCAAGCCTCCTAGGGTCTAAGAGAACCACCATTTCCCTTCCAACTCCCACAGCACAAATTACAGGAGTCTACATGAAAGCCCCAGTTCAGTACCTCGTTCACGATTCCATCCCAAAGCTGTAACTAGCAGCTGCCTCTCTAATGTCTCTCTCATAATTCACTTAGCACCACACCAAAGTGATTCTGACTCTCTTCAGAAGAAGACAGCCTCATCTTTCTCCCTTGGAGAGGCTCGTGGGTTTGAACCAATAACCTTACAGTTAGCAGCCCAATCGCAAGCTCACAGCGTCACCAAGGCTCCCTTCTGGCACAAAACCAAACCCTGCGCCATCAAGTCAATTCCAACAGCTCACAGAGACCCTACACAGAGTTTCTCAAAGAGAAAATCTTTACAGGAGCAGAAAATCTCATCTTTCTCTTGCAGAGCAGCTGGTGGGTTTGAACTGCTTACCTGACAGCACTGCCAAGGCTCATTCCTTATGGCACATTACGTCAAAGCAAGAACATTAATTCTTCTGAAACACTAGGAGTCTGTAATGCACTAATAGGAATACACAACACTGCCATTCCATGGTCTGAGTGAAGTGAGGGCCTAAAGTATGTCATCCAAGCAGGCTGCTGATCCCCTTGTTTGCTAGGGTTTCAAACGGCTTTTGCTAGTAAAATCACTACAATCAAAGTGATATGCACGTATGCCTGATATGTAAAGCACTGTGAACTGGATCTGTTCCAAATTGGGAGGGTGGCCAAAGCTGTGCACCCCTTCACTCAACCACGATTTGTGCACTCTTACTGGGCGCCAGGCTCCGTCTGCAAGGATGCAGCAATGACCAAGCTGATCGAAGAGCCTGTCTTTGTGTCCAAGGAGTCACCTGAAGAGGCCCCACAAAGCCAGTGCCTGTTGTTAAAGCACTGCCTTATTAACACAAATCTCCTGCCTGAAAATTCCCTGTGGCTCCACAATTGAGTTTAAGCCAAATGCCACAAGCCTGCCATCATCAGTCCTCTGAATCTAGGCCCAATCTACCCTTACATTTTCTACTCTAGGTCTGCCCTCAGCTTCCGCCACACAATGGACGCCTCACTGTCCCACACAGTCACTGCTCAGTGCACCCATCAGCCTTGGCGCATGTGGCTATCCTACTTTGAAAATCTCCTCTGCTGGACACATGTCCAGATCCCCAGAAGCTTATCCTTAATGATCAGAAGTTTCTAGAAAATATTCTAGACTAGTTTAGTCCATGGAGCCCTGGCGGGGTAGTGGTTGAATGCTGGGCTGCGATCTACGTGGTCAGCAGTTCAAAGGCTGGCCTTTCTACTCCAGTTAATAGTGAGTCTCAGAAACCCACAGGGCGTCGCTATGGGTCAGCAAAGGATGGACGGCACTGAGTTTGGAGTTTGGGATTCTAGTGCATACTGGCTTCTGCACTAGTCCGACATCACCATTCGTCAGTAGTATTCTTTTGTGGTCCCAGAAACCTGTCATCTTGTACAAGTATTCACCTATCACGTATAGAAGTTACTTTCTCAACCAAAGTCATACTCCTTTTGTACTGTCACAAAAGTTTCCGCATCCTACCTACCTGAGCGCTCATGGCCTCCTGGGTGACATGTTGGGCTGCTAATAGCAAGTTCAGGTGCCACAGGAATGAAATGATTCTGAAATATATCCTCTACCAATTAATACCATTTTTTTTTAATATAGCGGTCTCCGGTAAATTTGCTCAAATTCTGAAATAAGTTTCAAAGATTTCCAAGAAATAAAATATTAATGGTGTACGTAGTTTAATTCTAACTCAGGAAAATTTATGTATTCTTTCAAAGCACGACTATCATGAGAGAACAAAGCTAGCATGTGTTAGATGCCTGTAAATGGTATCAAAACTGAAAGAAAAAAAATTCACTACCACTCAGTTGATTCTGACTCACAGCAACCCTTATCGGGCAGTCCAGAGCTGCCAATGTGGGTTTCCAAGACTGTAACTCTTTACAGGAGTATAAAGTCTCATTTTTCTCCCCCGAAGCAGCTGGTGGTTTTCAGCTGCGACCTTGTGATTAACAGCCCAAATACGTAACCACTATGCAACCAGGATTCCCTATAAAAGATATATATACCATGATCTAATTGAGTGCGGGGTCGTATGAACACCGTAGGTACTCAGACACTTAGTGAATGAAAGAGAAAAAAAGTGAAGATCTCTAAAATGGTGAGCTACACGATGCTCTTCCAGAGATGACCGGCATGTTCCGTATATTTTTAAACATCAGTATTTTCTGTTGGAGGTCTATGGGTACATGCGAATCGTGAAATTTTAACATGAGAAGTCACCCCCACCTTCATCACTCTTAGCCCAGAAGACTGATTTACAAAGTCAGTCGATTACTTTCTCTAAACTGAATCACTTTAGATGCCATGAATCACGAAGCAGGGACATTGGATTAGTCCTTGTCCACTTAATAAGGCCTATTCACAGGGTCATTAGTCATCATTTGATAAGCTTGAAAAGGAAATGAACTTTCTACATCTGTGGTCACCCAACACCAGGTATTAGCTTTAGACTGATGACAGGCATTGGAAGGAATTGCCATATAATGAGAACATATGCTACTGAAAGGCACTTCCCTTTAAACGCCTTCACCTTACACTCGGCCAGCAGGAGAAACGAAGTCTTCATCCGTGCTACAATATGGATGGAGCTTGAAGACATTATGCTGAACAAAATAAGTCAATCATACAAGAGCAAATACTATATGACCACCTTATATTAAAAAAAGAAAAGGCAGATGTGTTGAGCCTAAGGTTTATTCGTGGTGATGAAGGCATGGGGAGGGAAGAAGGGGGGATAGGCAGTGATGGAACACTCACATTGATCAAGGGTAGTTAGACAACCTCTTGTTGCAGTGGTTGTCAATAAGTTGCACACAGTAAGTTCACAGTAGAAAGTTGAATGGCAAAAGTTGTGATCATACATTTAAAACTGTTGGTGGGCAGGGGTAGCAGCTGAGGCTGCTTATGTACAACCAAACGCCTCATGGGCTGTGGTTCCTTGGTTTGGAGGTTTGTGTCATGTCATGGGAATCATAGCTCATTGGCCTCAGAATATGCTTAATGCTTGTTTTACTTTCTACCTCGTTGTGTAGTCTTAAACAATTGCAAGCAACCACCCAAGGCACACAACTGGTGTCTCTTCGACCTAGCACTACAGAGGAAGGAGAGTCAGGAACGGGAAGAAAATATGGAATGTGTGGCTAATCATTACCACGAACAACTGCCTACTTTGCCATGAGACCATAAGAAGTAGATGGTGCCTGGTTGACATTGCTGGAAATGTTGATCAAAGATTTCACAGAAGAATCCGGATCACAACAAGGGAAATGCAGAACAGAATTTCAAATCCTCATGGACTCTTATTAAATTTAATTGATTCTATTCAATTGCATGGAAATGTGATTTCTCAGTTGACAGACACCATTTTGTATTGGAATTCAGACCTTATAGAGCCATAAAGGGTAGATGAACCCCTGAAACTATTGCCACTGGTAATCTTTAAACTGTTAAACAAAATAAACTGTTAAACAAAAATATCTCCTTTAGTGTTCTGGAATCTAAACTAGCTTACCTGGTAAATAAAGTCTTCCCTGTGCATTACGCTTTTTTAAGAACTGTCTCTAAACAATCAAATTGACAAGTGCAAGTGCAAATAATAGATAGGAGCCTTCTTCGAAAACTGAATTCACAGCCACCACTTGCCGCTGACTCATAGTGACCGCATAGGCTGGGAGGAGCGGCCCCTGTGAGTTGCACGACTGTCACTCTTTACGGGCGTAGAGTCCAGTCTTTCTCCTGAGGGCAGCTGGTGGCTTCACACTGCTAACCCTGCAGTGAGCCGCCCAGCACGTAACCGCTCCACCGCCAGGGACCTCAGGGGACGAGAAGAGAGCAGAAAGGCTGCGGCACACCTCAAAGAATGTAAGCAATCTCACGAGGCTGTACACGGAGAAACGGTCGGGCTGGTGTGCGTTTTTCCCTGAGGATTCTCAATAATAACAAAAATTAAGGATAAAAGAAATCCCTTCACTTACTTACATCAGAGGACTAACAAATGTCATCACTGAGCCAAAATCAACAAAATATCAACTTCTTCAAAACTCTGGTAAGAAGCCTATGAATTAGGTGCGTAGGCTTTCTCCCCCAAAAACTAGTTTCCACATTTTCTGTGTAAGACTCACTAAGGTACTAATTAACAAAGCGCTATCCCACCCCACTCCCCGGGGCTTCCATACCCAGTAGGTCCACAGTGGGCTGAGAATCCGCATTTTTCATAATTCCTTTTTTTCGGGGAATTTTGTTAAGGTTCCATTGCGTTGGTGTCACTAGTTCCTCTCCTCGGGGTACTTGTCTGACCGTTCCCCTTCATTGTGGGAGTCCCTGTGAGCTGCCACCTAGCTGACTCAGGGCAGTCCCATGTGAAATTGCAAAAGATTTAGTCAATGAGAACTTTAAAAAGTCCTAAGTCAGATGTACACTTAGCGATCTTAACTTTAGAAAAGTAATTTTTACCCCAAATTAGACAAATATAGTGCACACAGAACAGAGAGACTTGTACTGAAATGTGCATAAGAAGAACTCAAAATCAAGCTCTTCACACAAGACTGGGGAGGGGAGGCTCTGTTCAGTGCCAACATCGCACGTGGTTCTCTCGTCTGGGAAGACAGGAGTAAGCTGGAGGTATCTTACTTTAGCTCAGTTAAAAAGGATTAAAGACAACGCTATTGAAAAAAGAATTTTAAGACAAAGCCTCCTTCGATCTGAATTCCATTACAAAGTACTGTCTACCAGTACTTTGCCCAAGTGCCTATGCAATTGGAATAAAATTCATGACATGTGATTTGGATTCAGAGTTGTAGAACAGGAAAGGTCACCAAGAAGCTTTAAGCAAATGGCCTTGCTCCTCATCCATCTCATCTCTCCCGATGAGTCTGGGTCTGCCCGTGTTGTTTATGCGTGCGGCTCCCAGCCGAAAATGCTTGGCAGGATCTACTGAGGCCCTGCGTCTTTGAAGGTGCCATTTTGATTTCCCTCTGTATCTAATCATGTGTCACAAAATAAATGTCACAGGATTCAGTTTTTAAATATTTCAATTGAAAATCATAGCTAACTTGAACGTCACCAGTAGGCATGGTTGCCAGCATCAATTCTAGGTGAGTTGTGCTAAGATTTTAACTTAGCATAAAAAAATTTTTTTTATTAGAGCAGAAATTGTATGACACATTGGAATATACATTTTTAACACCATTGAATATTTTTAAACACAATTAATTTCTCCTGTAATGATTCAGCTTCCCCGTACCCTGCCAACCCCCGACCTTTGGTAAATAGCAACATCCCCTATCTAGAACCTAGAATCTTTTCATACCACAAAGTCCCTCGCACATGTGGGCCTGCAGATTGTGAACATTTTGCTTTGACATCAACATCTTTGTTGGATTACATAAGTGCTGAGGTTGAGGAGAGAGGAAAACAGTAACCGGCCACTGCTCCACTTCACTGGGGTGTTGGGAGGGGCAAAGAGCTTGTGATAAACGTTGAACTGCTTCTTGGAAATGAGCCCGGTTGAAGGTATGCTGCAAAAAAAATCCCTTACATTCGTAGCGTGCAGCCTGCTTCCCAAAGCATGTTCACTTGCATTAATTTAATGTGATGTGGAGCCAGCATATAAAAGCAGATAATGCTTCGGGATGTAATAACAAAGGAAAACAACACATGTGGGTCTGAGCCTCCCAAAGTTCCTTGGCTTTTCTGATGCAGCAAGTGTCCCATGCAGGACGGGAAGGCTGAACCACCGCTACCTTAGGGACGTCAGCACCTGGTGTGGCACATCCTAAATACTCCCCGAGCCACTTCTGCTCCCCTAGTCACCTCGTTCCCGCAGACAAAAAAAACTAGTTACGGAGGTCATGTTCAAAAGAGGAAGGCATGCTCTTTTCAGCCTGATTATGATTAAAGGACTACTCTGTGTACCAATCTCGTCACCCATTATTTAATAATGATTGGCAATAGCTTTCATGATCTCAGTTCCCTTACAGCACAGGTAAAAGTAAAACAACATGGTTATTATTATCATTTATTATAGATACAGAAGGCTAACAGATCCGCAATTGCCAGTCATTTTCCCTGGCAGACCCCGTCCTGAATAGTTAAAATGTCCGTGATTGTTGCTAGTTAATGAGCACAGCATCATGAATAGGGAGGACATTTTCCAATCCTAAAAGTATTTCAAATCTTACCTATATGTAAATTGGATTTGAATTCCACATTGTGATTTCTCACTGCCATATCTTGTGCTTCCAAGAGAACCTTAAACAAGGAAAAGAAAGGCATTTGTATGGCTAATCTTGAACTGAGAGTGAAATTAAATTTCTCATTTTTATGTCAGTAATATGATTCCTAATCACATGCTTCCATTTCATACTCTCCTTTAAAACGAGAATACTAAGCACTAACAGTACTAAGGAGAAAGGATCAAGTCCGTTGTCCATCCGCTGACAGGAACGGCAAGTGCAGGAA